TCACACACCTGCAAATAACCACCCTGGGGATTAGTTCAAGCTCAGCAGTGGCCCTGCTGGAGCAGCACTGCTGGGCCTTGGATGCTGTTGCTGATCCTGATAGTTTGTGCCATGTTGCAGTTCTGTGTTTGGATAAAAAAAGCCCCCCAGGACTAGTGGTTATATTGGATGGCCTAATGCTATTTAGCATGCCACTGCAAGTCCAGGTCCTGGGAGTCAAGATCAGAGGCACCCAAACTAGGTCAGCATGGAGTTGTTTCAGGTCTGGCAGATTTAAGAGCTGGAGATATGTGCTGAAACAAATCAGTTCTGTACTTCTGCTAGACCTGAAATGACTTTGCAAGCCATTTAACTACATTCCTGTGGTGCTACATCTAAGCTAATGAACCTCTCCAGAATTCATTGAACTTCCAGCCAATTTGGGATTATCTATACACATGGAGTGGTAATTTTATTTAATTAGTATAAATAAAGTCTCCTTCATTCAGATAAATGAATTTTTAACAGAGGCAAATCACCAAATTGGTTTCACTTATGATTAAATAATAATTTGCTAATACTCCAAGTATAAAGGTCAGTCATTGTAAAAGCTTGGTGTTAGTCTGTGGGAAGAGATGGAAAATAATGCATTATTGCTCCTTTGAAATCTTAATTCTGTGCAGTGTGAATTCTGATGTGTGCTTAGTTATTAACATGTCCCCAATGAGGTGCAGCTGTTGTCCATCAAATCTTGTTAGACTGACAGTCATGTGAAATCCTGTGATTCATTCCCAAATGCAGAATGTAGACCAATAGTGGAGGTACCAGACTCTGAAGTATCGAGTCTGTAAATAGAAATGTATGTACAGACCACTGGCCACTGGCATTTTCCCAATCGGAATTGTATTTTCATTTCAGCTAGGATTTCAATTACGGTGCAAATGAGTTTTGAATATTGTAGTGTTGTTGTTACTAACGCTGAGTTGTATTTGTTCTTTGCAAGCTGGAAAGAGTTCAGAAGTGTGTTTTGTTTGACTGAAACCGCTGAAAGTTTTTGCTCGTGTCACATCAGTGACTTTAATCTGTACAAGTAGTCTTGTTATCATTCTGTAAAAAATATCTATACATACAATCAGAACTAAGTGGACAATGATAAATGTGATGAAGATGGCTCTTGTATGCTGTGAAAATTCTTGAGCAGAACTAGTTGTTAAATTAAAGCAGAATAAACTTGACTCTTTTGAGAATTCAGCTTTTGAATTTGTTTAATAGAGAAGTACTGAAAAGTTCTGCCTCAAAAGCTTACTTTCAGGCACTGCAAAGGATGAAGCAAATTGGAAAAAAGTAACAGTGGTGCAACAGCTTCAATTTGTTTTAAGCTTTAGTTCCATGCTGGGGCATGGACACAGCTGTTAAAAGTGGAGGCAAATAATATTTTAACCTCTAGACACTAAAAGTTCTTTAGTTCTAGTTCCATGAAGGAACACCTGTCAAAATAATCAAAAAAACAGATAGTTCTTAGACTTATGCTTAAAAAAAAGAAAGAAAGAAAAATAGCATTTCTCACATTGTTTCTTCTGCATTTTTTGTCTTTTGCCATATAAACCAATTTATTCCAGCATTCGCAGATGGAAGTTGTAATATTCTTTTCTATTGTGACCTTTTAAAATTCAATTTTATTATATTACTTCATGGCAGCTAGTTCTGAAGAAGATGTCAAAAGTGTTTTGCTTTTGAAAATTAGGCCAGTGAAATTCATTACAAGAGGAAAAATACACTGAACCACATAGTACACTCAAAATCCCAGTCTGTTTAATACAAAACCCATATTTAAGAAAATGACCCTTGTGTTTAAGGTGCTGTTTAATGTGTAGACATAATTGCATACAAATGGTATTTCCATATCTCACGTTTACCATTACAGGGCCAACATTTTCAGTGATTTTTTTTTAAATTGAGGTGGAGCATGCCTCCCTGGGCGTGTGGGAAGACTCACTGGCTTTTGCCAGCAGAAGCAGGTGGTGTTCTCCCACCAGCAATGAGTTTGTTTGGGATGAGTAGTGTAGTGATTAACCACCCCAGCAGCCTTCCTCTTCAAACGGGCTGAGAGCCACCTGGCTGTTCTCCAAAAGTCTCTCCTGATTCAGCACATCCTTGCAGCAGCCAGAAGCACCCCCTGCAGCAGTGAGTGCATGGCAGACCCTGCCTGTCCTGCTCTGGTGTCCCAGCGTGGGACATCGTGGGCTGGCACTGTGTCCCACCAGGGCATTGTGTGTTGAAATGCTCTGAAATGAACCCAGCTCCATTTATCAGAAATAATGCACTTTGGGCACATTTACATTGGACACTGCTCACTTGGCTCTGTGTGTGCTGCTGTTACGAGGTTGCTCTACATCAGCAGGGCAAGAGCTCAAGTATGTACCAGCCTGAATTTCCTGCTCTGCAGTTAGTGGGTTCTCTCTGGGAAAGAGACACGGGAGAGCTAGAAGAAAGACTGTGTGTGTGGCTGGGTGAGCTTGATTAAAAGTTGAAGACTTACACTAATGTCTCCCAAAGGTACACTGATGATGTCACAAATCCTAGATTACAGTGAATTCTCACACTGACTGAGGACCTTATTAAACTTTAACAAGTGTTTGCTGCTAGTAGTCTTGTTCTTTTCTGTTTTTTCTTACTTGAATATATACTTAAAACCCAAGACTGAGTAAAGGAGGCCACAGCAAGTGAACAAAATAAATGCTCATTTAAGGCATGTTCAAGAAAGGAGTTGAAAGCTACACTGAGTGCCTTTCTAATGGAGAGCTGTTTATCATCCTCAGTTTTACTGAAGTATGATAAAGAGCCTCGTTCCAGCAGTGTATCTGGAGTCAAGCCCAAGTTATCACCAGGGAAGCAAGAGTGATTTTTCACAACACTCAACATACAATTGGAAGATGCATCAATATGGTAATGAAGTAGGTGTAGCAATAGAGTCTCATCAAACTCCTATTTAATTTTTAATTCTGATCTCTCAAGTATGTGCTGGTGGGAAAATAGTGGCAAGTTTATGCTGCCTTTTTACTGAGGTGTAATTTCATCTGCTGTGAAGATGGACTTCAGCAGGCTTGAGAGGCTGGCCTGTGCAATACTCATGAAGTTCAACAAAGCCAGCTGAAAGGTCCTGCATGTGGGTCAGGGCAATCCCAAGCACAAAATGCAGGCTAAACAGAGGATGGCTTGAGAGCAGCCCTGCCAAGAAGAACTTGGACGTGTTGGCTGGGGAGGAGCTGGACGTGTGCACTGTGCTCTCACAGCCCAGAATGCCAAACGTGTCCTGGGCTGCATCCAAAGCACCGTGGGCAGCAGGGGAAGGGAGTCTGTCCCTCTGCTCTGTTCACCTGAGTGCTGCATCCAGCTTTGGGCTCTCTGACATTAGAAGGGCATGGATCAGCTGGAGCAAGTCCAGAGCAGGGTGATGAAGCTGATCAGAGCACTGGAGCACCTCTCCCATGACAGGCTGAGAAAGCTGGGGCTGTTCAGCCTGAAGAAGAGAAGGCTCTGGGGATGCCTTGCAGCAGCCTTCCAGTACTTGAAGAAGGCTTACAGGAAAGCTGGAGAGGAACATTTTATGGGGGTTTTTAGTGGTAGAACAAGGGCTATAAATGGCTTTAACCTGAAAGAGGTTAGATTACATGTTAGGAAGAAATTCTTTGCTATGAAGGTGGTGAGACACTGGGACAGGTTGCCCAGAGAAATAGATGCCCCATCCCTGGAAGTGTTCAAGGCCAGGCTGGATGGGACTCTGAGCAACCTGTCTAGTGGAAGATGTTCCTGCCATGACAGGAAAGTTGAAACTAGATGGCTTTTAAAGGTTCTTCCAAGCCAAACTATTTTATGAGTGTATGTCTTTCCTTGCAATATAATTCTTACCTGTTTACATTTTCTTCTCTAATTGCCTTTGAATTTCAGCCCCCACAAAATCCTTATTTAGTTGTTTTTCTCTCTCTTTTTCTAAGCTAGAGCTGTACATTAGAAAGGATATATTTTCTGATTTTTGTATGCTCTATCTATTTATGTACTATAAATGTGACATATTCATTTTGAATCTGCTAAAACTGGATGTGAAAAGTTGAGATTTAAAAGGTTTGCATTAACAGTAGAGAGTCAAATTCTGTATTGATGTGAAGGAAGTTAAGTTATCTGCTAATTTGATTGGCATAATATTACAGCTTCCATATGCTCTGTGCTTATGAAGCTCCCAGCATTAGTGTATTGCTTTAAAGAAGTTTTCTGCTTCCCAAGGATGACTCCAGGGAATGCTGTATTTTCATTATTTGAGCAGCAGTTTTGGCTGACATATTGACAAATTGTCTTGTGCGATATAGAGTGTAAGGAACTTGTTTACACAGGCTGTCTGGAAAGCAAAAACAGTGTTTTGCACAGAACCCCCAGGTAGTGCAGACATCAGGGAGATCCATGTGCCACCTTCTTACTGAGCTTTGTGTTTCTGCAGCCTTGTAATATCAGATTTTGTACATCGAAGTCTTTTCAGAATGATCCACTAAGTAAAAAGTTAGACTTCCATCTTCACTAATGGGCTTGACACATAATTTGGAATTCTATTCTTAAATAACAGTTCGCCTTCTTTAAGAAGGAAAATAATTTTTTTAACAATTAGTGATATTTTGTTTTACAGAATTATAAGATAATGTTAAGGTTTTCTTCGGCTTTGAGATGGCAGGCAGGGGGCAATCACAGCTAAAGAAGAAATGGTGTATTTAGAAGTCTGGTGTCTGACCTCTTGAAATGGGTAATAGGATCAGAAGGCAAAGACCAACTAAAATGGATTTATCACATCCAGTTTTGAGCCTGGCATTAACATGCCATGTATTTGAAACGAAAACTTTTATGATAAAATAATCTTCTTGAAAGCATTTTTAACAGCATGCTGTTTTAGAATTGCTGGAATGGGAATAGTTTTATTTTTAATTTCTACTTAGTAGCAAAATAGATCAAGTCTTGATTTCAATGTGTTTCCCCAGGTATATCTTGAAAGACTCTTAACTTATGCAGAGATAGATATTTGTCCAGCAAACTGGAAGCGAATAGTACTGGGGGCAATTCTACTGGCATCCAAAGTTTGGGACGACCAGGCAGTGTGGAACGTGGATTACTGCCAGATCCTGAAGGATATCACAGTCGAAGACATGTGAGTGAAGTTTGTTTATGTTTGTCAATGAATGCCAACATCTGTGTCTGCGAGGGTGACGGGAAGTTCTTTCATAAATTGTCTGAAGTTTGTATATTTGTGTTGTATCTAAACATGGTGGATGCTGATAGATGGCATGAGGTCAGCTTGACAGCTGCTTACATAGAAGACATGAATTATTTTTGTTTTCTGGTTGAAGTGTATTTTACCACTGGATATTCATGCACAATAATGAAAACAGATTGACAGAATAGTTAAATGTATGGTTTAATAAAATGCTCCACATCCAGTGACCCTGCATGTATTCACTTTCAGCATCATTTACTGTCATGCTAATTCTTCATGCAGAGAATGGATATGTAAGGTAGGAAAGGAAGTTATCTTAATGACCTTTAGATGATCACCCAGTTATTTATTGCCATTATTTTAAATTGATGCTTTTGGGTTTTGACATTTTTTACGGTATCCTGCTGAATTAGTTTTCAAGATATTAAAAATCCAGACAGAATAAGGTTTCCAAGACAAAAGAGGGAGGTAAGATGGACAAGAACCAAAATTGGGTCCTTCACATTTCTGTGTGCAATATTATTCCATGCAGAATAATTTGCTAATGGTTTCTTAACTGATTAAGTGGAACCTAAGTAATTTTACAAAGTTACTTTTTCCCTTGATCCTTTTCTCATGCTTTTTGAGTATTCAGTAGCACTGGGGGTCTCCCTCCACTCACTTCTCTTCCAAGGCAAATCTGGGTGCTTTTAAAGTGTACCTGAAGCTGGGACATGAGCTGCAGTGCTGAACAGCTTGAAGCAGAGTCACAGGTTTGACTGTGCCATATGACAGTATTAATGAGGAATGGTTATAAATGTGAGCTGTGGAATTGATAATTCTCAGGGCTTTTCTTGAAGGCGGTGTGAAAGGAAACAAAAAAAGAAGTTATTGTTTCTGACAAACACATGTGATGGTGCTACTGTTAGAAGCTGCACTTGAGCTATATAGCACCAGTACTCACATGGCAGACCTGTGCTCACATCAGCCCTTTTCTGCACTGCAAATTCCCCAAGCTAAACTGTGATGAGTCCTTGTCCTCAGGCATTTTTAGCTTCTGACCATTTTCTTGAAAGATTTTAGGGTTCTCACAAACTGGAAACCCAGAAGCCTCTGGGGAGCCCGAGTTCTCTATATGTACTTGGTGATCTTCATGGGCTTTGTGTTTAGGGCTCTGTTGAATCCCTCTGCAAAGATTCTGGTGCTTATATTCCTGCTGTCAGCTTTTCCAAATTTTGTTTTCCTCCTATCTGCAATGAATTTTTTTATGGTTTTTTTTTTTTCTTTCTTATTTTTCAGCTGAGACAGTCTCTGGCTCTAAGCAAAACAGGGCCTTTCATTGTATTGTATTAGTAAGGCAGAAGAAGAGCTCTAGGTCAAAATCTTCAATTTGTGTGAATCATTCAGCATAAGTGTATCTTGCAAAACATCAAGCAGACCTTTCAGGGTTTTATAAGTCAGCATCAGTGCAGTGAACTGTGCCTAAAAGTGAGTGGAGAACTTGGGAGTACTGAAGTGCAGTGGGTATCTGTAGTCATGTATGTGGCATTACATTGAATTTCTGAGGAGTGGCCCAGGAAAGCACGTGGTAAAGCAGTCTGAGGGAAATGTAGGGGGCAAGAAGTGTATGGTGGTTAGTTAAATTACTTAAGTTCAGTAAGAAATACTTGTGTGTTTTTGTCCTTTCTGATCTGCAGCTAGTCTACTGATCCAACTATGAGATCTTGGAGACAGGGGATAATAAGAAACTGAGGCTGTGTATTTGAGATTTTTGAGGGTACTCTTCAAGTGGTACAGCCAATGTCTTCTGCCAGTAAAATAGGCTTTATATTATCAATAGATATAGAACTTTAGGCTTAGCTTGCAGAATGTACAATCTTGGCAGTATAAAAGGACAGGTAAAGGCAATGTTTTGTTTCTATTTACAGACATTTTTTACTTGGATTTTTAAGTTGGAATCTTCAACAATGTGAATTTAAGCCAAAGACTCCATATCCAGCTTTTGGTTAGTCTTTTAGTATTAATTAGTATTTATCATTATATAAATGTAGAATTTTGGCACAGAGAGTGAGGATAAGGAAGGACAATGCTTATGATGCAAGAATTATGTAAGGGTAAAGAGTGAGAAGGAGAAAAATAATTCAGTGTTAAAAAAAATTACTGCACCAGTACTTTTTATCTTCAGATCCTTCCTCTTCTACTGCCAACTGTGCAACTTCTATTTCATATTCCTTGCACATTTGCACAGTAGTCAAAATGTAACTTAGAGACAATATAGTCATCATTCAATGCCCACTGGTAGCACAGCAGTGCAGTCTTTGGGCTCTTCAGCAAACATTGGTGGCTTTCACTGCACATTTATTTATTTATCATATCTTGAAATCATTGTTTTGAATGTAATATGCATAAGTATTAAGTAGGATATCTGAACAATTTATGAAAATTTCCAGTCCTTAATTTGATTAGTTGGCTTATTTTTCAATGTACTTTTTAATGTATTGGTGTAGTTAATAATGGATTTGTATACCAAAGTTTTAGAGGGTGGGAGCTCAAACAGGAGCTCTGTTCCTATCAGGTATTTTGACAAACATGTTTCCTTTAAATGCTGGAAAACACATGATCACCACTGTGAATTTTGGTTGCACATCTAAAGGAAAAATTGCTTTATTCTGTTCATAAAACGAGTATTATGAAAAATTCAGGTTTCCCATGACTAAATCTAAACAATTGATTATGAAGAGCTGCAGGGGGTAAATATGTTCTTCAGTAATTTATGTGTTAGAGTAATTCGCAGCATTTATGAGAGGAGCCTGACAAATTTAGGGCGGGGGTGTGTGTGTGTGTGTGTTGTGGCATAGCTGTGTATGCAGACCCACCTAGTGGAGGTAAAGTAGAAACTACGAGAATTTTTTTTTTCCCTGCTAGGTTTTCTTTCCAAAATTGTGTTAGCTAAACTGATAAAGGTGCCCTTTCACTAGCAAAACCTTGTTTGTCTGGGTTTGACTGACATTGCAGTAGCAGCTGCAAGGTGCAGCATCTCTCATACTCCTCACTGGTGTGAGTACACTGATAGAACTTGGTAGAGAAGGTCAAACTTAGGCTGGGATAATTGCATATGGCGAGAATAAAAAATGAACTTGGTTTATACCATTTGCAATTTAAAGTAAAATTACATTCAGAATGCACAGTCTGAAATATGTTTCCATGTTTATCTTTTTCCACAGGAATGAGCTGGAACGCCAGTTTCTTGAGCTGTTACAGTTCAATATTAATGTTCCCTCCAGTGTTTATGCCAAGTATTATTTTGATTTGCGCTCCCTGGCAGAAGCAAATAACCTGAGTTTTCCCTTGGAGCCCCTCAGCCGGGACAGGGCATATAAACTTGAGGTAAGACTTTTTAGATTGCTCAGTGTTAAATGTATAGGGGGATTGGGAATTTCTGTGCCGTTTCTCCCTTCTCCCATCTCCTCCCAGATACTCCCATGAGATACTAGAATATCATAAGCCAGATTTTCATAATGGTTTTGTTTATGCTTTGAGTATTCATGGCTGTGGGGACAGCTTTTTGACACAGTTTTCTTCATACCTTACCTTGCTTTCCATTTCTTTTCAGTTGCAGTTGTCTATATTAGCCTTATGAAAGTACCCACAAGTTTTATAATTATTCTATTCACAGTCTAGTGTTGTTTGTTCCTTTGGTTTCTTAAAACTGATAATCCACCTTAAATGACAGAATATTAACAAATATTGCTGAAAATAGCTGTTCCATGTTCTTTTTCTGCAAGTGCTCAGTTTCATGTGAGTCCAAGTTTGTTATCTCCCATGATGTTTTTCTCAGTAAAGAGAGAACAGAAATGAACACATGCCTTCAGTGAATAAGTCACGAATGCTTATGAGATATGGATCTACCATACACCAGAAGCACTGTTGGATGGTCTGTGAAACGCTGGGCACTGTGAATACCACAGACACAGGAGGAATTTAAATTATCAGCTAACTGGGGCTCTTTGCAAGACTGCAACATATTTTTTCCTCTTTTTTTGGATATGTTTTTCAAATATGGGCATTATTGCACTGGGTGTGAATTTTGTAACTAATTTTGAAATTTTTCATTAGATGCTGGCTGCTTTTAACAGTACACATCTTTAATTACATAACATCTTTGCACTGGAGGTTGTTTGCCTGTGGGTTAGACCGAGCTTTGCATGCTCTGAAATTCCTAGTGCTCCTGTGGAACAGGCAGGCAGTTCTATGCACGTTTTTGTGGGGGGAAATGGTGCGTGGGAAGATTAATTGACTTGTTTGTGACTCTAATGGGAGCTAAAAGTGGAGGAGAAAGAATCAAAGAAAATTTCACTTAAGTTTTATTTCCCATTCTTTCTAAATATTCTTCCTAAATTGCACAGGTTGCTCCAATAAGAATGTCATTCTCTGTATGGAGTGTGATCTAAATTTGAATCAGATTTTGTTTCTATCAAAAAGAATATTGAAAACATTCATTTGGATTGTAATCTTACTTGAAAAGAGGTGCTTTACTGAGTTATGGGAGTCTTGATAGTAAATGCTATTACATATATCAAAACTAAATTAATTGCTTTTTGATTTAGCCCACAGTTTCTTAAAACTGTCCACCTATATCACACACAATGTATAACAGCATGTTACAAATGAATGTAACAATGATAGCTCCTAAAACCTTAGAAGAAAAGAAAAATGGGAAATGACAGTAAATAGCCAGAGAATACTGGTAATTCTTCTGTACTAGCTAAAGAAAGGGCATATTTAAAAAGAACTAATGGAATTTTTTTTCAATAAATCTGTATTACTAAAAGTTTCCCCACTGGGCATGCTTTGAGCTGCCAGCAGAAGTTGGCTGTAAATAACCCTGCTAGCCAGGGGATGTCTTCAGGGTAGAGGAGGAGTATCTGCTGTGAACCAGCTTGGTCTGCCACCTCCTTGCCTCTCTGTTCTGTGGCCAGAAGGAAGGGAACTGCCTTGTTCCCTGGCAGTACATGGTTGTCATTCGTGTGCCCTTGAAACTACTTGACAGCATAATTTATAGCCCAGTTCCTGAGCACAGTTAAGCATTTCACTTGCCAAGAGTCATCAAAATGCATTTGCAGCACTTCTGTAGTCTCTGGTGTGCTGTTCAGACCAGAGTTCTCTGTTTTAAAACAGTTGCCTGGATTGTCAAGTGGAGTAGATGTAGTACCACACAGGCTGTGATATTTTTGATACCGAGAGAAGAGCTGCAGTCTGTGATGAAAGACAACAGCCTCACAGCAAGTGTATCCATGCAGTGGAAGGATTTGCCTTGTGTGATAAACTAAAGAGACCTTGCTCAGTCCTAAGATTAAAGCAACTGGCATTTGAGATCACAAAAGGTGTTGCCTAGAGAAATAGCTATATTATATTTTTGCTATTTTTGCATTTTAAATCTATTTTTTTATATCTAAAGTAGAAGCAGTAGATCTGACATGGCAGATTCTGCATTGTGATTTCTTCAAATATCATGAAGTTGACATACCCATGATGATGAAAAAACACCCTAAAAAGACCTAAAAGGTTGAGGCTAGTAAGAAATGTACCTCATCACAGGGAAATGCTGGACAAGATCCATCAGCTGAGAGGTGTTACGAGAGATTGCAGTACTTGTTAAACATTACATCACTTTCTCAAGCATCTGCAGTGGATGTTTCTTCTTATTTAATGTTCTCAGAATTGACACTTAAAAAGCAGCTTTGTCTTTTAAATGACAAAATGAAAGTAATTTTTTTTTGTTTTACCTTTTAATTATCTGTGGACTGACGTGTTCTGGATTTGTTATACCAGTCCACCTAGTAGCCAGAAACCATTTTTATGAACCCTCTTGGGTTTTTTCTCCTCTTCCATGGAATTAGGCAGGTCAAAAATGGCAAATAAACTTTCATTGGCTCATCCACTCTGTCCACCTGCCAATGCTGTTTGTTCCAAACAGCATATGTTATAGTGTGTTGTTCTTCCTTTTAATTATGTCAAATGTCAAGGCTTCCTTTGCTTTTCCTGAGACCTCTTTTCTGATATGGGAGAATTTTTTTCTGCCAAGAAGGTTGTTGGGTGTCCAGCCTTAATCCACTCTTTTGTCATTTCCTACTCTTGCACTTGGTTTTTCTCCCATGTACTGAGCTAAACATGAGTCAGATTCTCCTCTTTCGGTTAAGTAGACAAAATGTGTCTGTCCTGTGATCTTAGCACTGTTCCAAGGTTAGATTTTCTGAGAGCATTCATTAGTGCACTCCCAGTTTAACTAATGTTGTCTTAGATCTTTATTGTTGGGATGGTTCTTGAGCACGTAGTTCAAACCCTTTGAAATGTGTGCTGTTTTCTTGACAAAGAGATAGAGTCCCACAGATCAAACAGACAAAACCAGCAGAAAAATATGTAAGTTACAAGCAGAGAAGTGTCTTTATATTTCTTCAGCTCTCCAGTGTCACAATGACTTGATTGCAGTTCTGTGTGTTTGTATGTTCACAACCCTCAAAGCCAGGAGGAAAAGGAAGAGCAAAACAGGGCAAAACTCACCTTCTTGGGTCTTAGGAGTAACCATTTGTGCTTTTCTCATGCTTTATAAATTAAGGTGAACTACCTGCTCTTCTTCCCTGCTCAGTTTCCTCTGGTTTGTCAGTTTTTGGAGGGTGTGCAGGACTCACAGTCTGTGCCTTTGTGCATTCCCGAGCCCATAACCATCCGTGCTGCTTTCCTGCCCTGCACAAATGTGCATGCAGCCAAAATTTTAACTGCTGCTCCTACTATAACTACTGCTACTACTGCTGCTGCTACTGCCATTCTCCAGCCTTCTTTCTCCTTACTTGTCCTCTCTTCCAGTGATGGAATCTCTAGAAGAGTTCTGTAACTCAGCAGGGAAACTGACATTAGTTCTGTATGCATGGATATAATGGAAGAATATATATGTGCATGCATTCTGGCTGAATACATACATTACAGCCAAGTCCAGCAAAATTTCACATGATGAATTAGTGTTGCTGGTTTTTAAGAATGTTTTGAATTGAGATGAGAAATGGTCCCTTGCAACTGTCAAAAATTGGTTTCTTTTTCAAGCAATAAAAGAAACAAAATTATCAGATGATAGGTGATTATAGCTATTTTGGTTTATTTTAACTGAAGGACAATAATAAATATTTACCATTTTCTGCTTTTTTTGTTTCCCCATATGTTATACTAAACTTGACTAACTACCTTGCCAAGTATGCTCCAAATATTGATTTTATAACTTACTTGCAGAGGAAGAGGCATCTTTAGATACTGAGCTGCTTTAAATGGCAGTGTGTTTCTTATCCATATGATTCATCAGCATAGCCTAGAGATGCCAAATATTAAGTGCCACTTCCAAGCAACATTTCATTTTGTCTGACCAAGTGCCAGAACAGAAATTTTCCTGTGTCACACAGGCAATTTTGAAGTGATTACCTTCTCTGACTTTTTGATGCCTAAGGTAATAGTCTGATTTGGCAGCTGAAAGAAGCTGAGCTCCACCTAAGTACACCCCTTTGTCATGTCATGCCTTGGCACATTATTTCATGGATAAACATTTTTAACCCATTGAATTTTAAACCTGACTGAATTGCATAAACTCTCTTAGTCCATCACATTCCTGGTTGAATTAAATAAGATTTTATTAAGCAGTTTTAAGTGAATTAAGTTACGGTCTAAGAAGCAATATGAATACCTTTGTTATTTTGTTCTGTTCTCTTCATGTACACCACGAAGGAAAACTGAGTGTAGTCTTAACAAAAAGGTAGTGTTCAACTAAAAAGTAGCAACTGTTCCCTTGGTGGTGGTAGGTTTTATGTTGTTCTGGGTTTGAGTTTGTTTTGTTTTCTTTTGTTTTCTAATTTAATGATGTTTTGTGGCATTAGGTGAACGTGCTCTCAGGTGTATGAGTTGTGTGCTTCTGCCATACCTGCCCCTGGTCTTTGCAGGACTACTCAAATTAAAGGACTCTTCACTGCTGTAACTTGCTGTGCTATAGAAGTAAAGATCAAGACAGAAAATAGTGATCCATGGAGTCAGGATGTTTAATTATTTGTAATGCCTTGTGTTATAATCAAACACTTCTACTGGGTTTGTTTGTGCAGTGCTCTTTATTAAACATCTTATCTTAAGGCACAACTTGAAAGCATTCCTGAGTAAATAAAAAATGCTGCTTTAGTTTGTCGTATTTTTGAATTTGACCTTGAGTACTCCTTGCAGTGAGCTTTCTGTGCAGCTCTGCAGTTTGATTGCCAGAGTTAACATCTCTACTGATGCCAGCCACAGCTTGTTCCAGCCATATGAACTCTAATATACAGGCTATTTTAGGGAACAGTAAATTCATGCATGTGGGGTCCATATAATAAATGCTATTCTTAAACTTGGCTAAAAACAGTAGAAGAAACATCAAACATTAACTCCAGTATAGTATAAAAGGAGTTGACACTTGAACAATGTTTTTCTCTCTCTTCAAAAGGTTTAAAAATGACTTATGTATTTATAATGTGAATTAAATTATTCTGAATATGAGTTTCATTTCCCTATATATATGGAAGTATATAAGATAGCCTGGTCACATAGAAATTATCATCTGCTTCTGCAAGGTGAATTAACATCAGCTGAGGAGCCAAAGCAGGATGAGTGTTCTGCAAGACCATTTCTCAACAGAAAAAAAATATAATTACTACAAGATTTTTAGGAAATAAAAAAATTAAGAGCCATCTGATTTTTAAATTCTCCAAATACACTTACAGTGCCTATGGCTGTTTTATTAAGTTTTCACCTATGAAGGATGATACACCAGTTACCCTGTAAAAATGGATAAGCACTGTCAGCTCCCTCAGTGAGGTTTGTGATGGTTCATCTGCAAAAACAAGGCTTGGGGTATGCTGAGTCCTTCTGAAGCTGCCATGTGGGGCAGTGCAAGCCTTCCTTCCAAGATCAATGAAATGAAAACTAGGATTTGAGGAGAATGTCTTCATGTGTTTTGCTTAATGAAGTGACTTTTGTAATTTCACCTGTATGTAGAAATCTGCATTTAGTCTTGCTTTACCTGGACAGCTGTGGGCAATGCCACTGAGGGGTTTTCACCTTTTCTCTTGCAGGCCATTTCTCGCCTGTGTGAAGATAAGTACAAGGACTTCAGGAAAGCTGCAAAGAAGCGGTCGGTCAGTGCTGACAATCTGACTGTGGTTAGATGGTCCCCTGCAATTATCTCCTAACAGGAGACTGGAATATTCCTATGGACGTACTGTTTCATCCATCCATTTTTTTCAGAGTGGGCTGGGGGCGGGGGGATAAAGAAAAAAAGACTTTTGATTTTTTTATTTTTAAATCTGTCAAGCTGCCTTTACAGTGCCTCCCCATTGTGTAGCACACGAGTGAAATACCTAATGGAAGGAGAAATGGAGAAATTGGTGTTCGGGAGAGAAGATCGGCAACAATTATTTTCTCACTTCCACTAACAGCTTTACACTTCTATGAGGAAACAGCAAATCAGGTGCTTGGAAGAAGAAACAAAAAAATGAAGTAGAGGCAGAAAAATATTTAAGAACTCTGCCATTTTCTATTGTACTCATGAAGGGAAATGGCAGCATGAAAAAAAAACGTGTAGTCAGATGACTGTGCGCTAGAGGAATGACATTGGGAGAGTTCCATCTTAAAAGTTTCTCTTAATATCTTTTTTTGTTGATGTTGTTGTTGTTGTTTTGCATTCCTCATTGCTGCTTCCCAGGATAAATTCTTCCCCTTGCACAGCAGGAAATACAAAGTCTGTATTTACAGTAGCACAAGCCCCTGAATAAATAGTGTTGGGTTTTTTCACTGCACTTTTCTCTGTAACCTGTCTTATTAGCATTATTCTTCTTAATTATTATGCATATGTTACATTTCTTGTATGCCTTTTATTGTATTTCAAAAGAGAGAACTTGACCATAGTGCTGAACCAAAAGTGTGTACAGGGATCAGAAGATCTTCGTAATTTCATGATGTGTTTTATTTATAGCATACTTGGGTGCGTGTGCCTTCCTGAGTTCTTGGAATCATTTATTTTTCCATAATATAAAGATACAGTTGTTAAAGTCTTGAGATGATGATGATGATAAGACTTGGGCCAAATCTCTGAAATTTGCAACAGATCTTGTGATCCTTTTTGCAGATTTTCATAACATTAGAAGTTTAGCAGAATTCATCCATTTTGAAGGAGATTTTTTTTTTATGGCCTGACAAGTTCATTCCTTCACCTCCAGGTCCATTGTTGCAAGCAATATTCTCAATTTTTATATGTTTACCTTAAATCAAAGTGAGTCTGTTTGTATAAAATAAAAAATAATAAAAAAAATTGTTCCAATGAGAAGGCCTGTAGAAGAGCAGAATGGAAATCTTAATAAGGTATCTGTCACAAGGAGATTTGATTTGGAAGTTAAAATACGAACCCTCATGTTTTTCAGTGTAGGTGCTTATAGAAATTAAAAGTAACTGAACTGTGAATATGATTTCCAACTCGGATTATTAAACTCCTCTGTTGTTATTATTATTATTTCACTCTTACTGTGGCTGTTCCCCCTTGGCAATTGTAAGAACAATACAAAATAACTTCTCAGTATAAACATATTTGCTTCATAACACCGCAGAGTGATTTCCCCCCCACCCCCTGTTTTTGTTTTTTTGCACAGTTTAGGAAGATACAGCTGAAAGCTCTCAGTTCCCTGAAATCTGTCCTTGTGACTGTCACTGAAGGGAATGGCAGCAGATGTCCCCGATTCGTGCACTACTGTTGTAACCCACAAAGATTCCGTGTTTGTTTTGTTAAGCCCTATGGGCTTGTGGCTACCTGGGGGCCAGAGCTGCACTCCTGACTCCCAGGGCGATGCTGGTCCAGGGCCTCCAGCAGGGAGGCACCCACAGGATGGAGGCAGTGAAACCAAGCAGTTTCCTGTTAGCTTCCCAGTGTGATTTGTTTTGTTTGAGACATGAAGGCTTTGTCCATAAATTCTCCTGATGTTCTTTGGGCCTTTAAAATAATCTAATTCTCATCACTTCTTGTTGTGCCAATGCATCAGAACTGTGAGTATCCAAGTCCATTTTTCCCTTGAACATGGAATGTAAGGCAAGTGTTTATAACAAATTACAGCATTTGAAACCTCTTTACAGATAGTATCAAAAGGAACATTTTCAGAGCATTTGAAAGTCATCCTTTATAAGCATAAATTTAGGCTTTAAAATATGTAAAATATTTTGATTTATCAACACTTTGCTAAACTATTTTCCATTTAACTTGATATCAGGAATATTGGTTTTATCCATTTCTGGGTGATAGAGATATGAACTTTGGATTATGTAAAGATATCAATGCATCTACTATAATTTTTGTGAAGTTTATTAAACTACTTTAAAGATTGTATAGTCTATTTATTGTATGTATGTACATACAGTCTGATACTTTAAAAAGTGGATTCCGTAAAACCTGGCTCAGTCTTGTTTAGACTATTGAATATCGTTTTAGCCTTGTGCACTGGACTCTACCTCTGTATAGGAGAATTTTCCATATTCTTAATTAGTACTGATTCTGTGATTAACTTGGTTATGTTTCTTGCACTAAGAATTAAAAAAAAATCTGCTGTAAGTGTGGATTTTTTCTTTAGTTTTACCATATGAATCCTCTACATTGAGATGGATGTTTCTTTCCCTCACGGTTATAGAATAATTCTTTGCTTTTTCTTCTGGTTTGTTCCAGGGTTGCCAAAAAATACAGTACCTGTCAGTAAATCTGAAAAGTGTCTTTTGTTTGCAAGGTATTCTATACCAGGTAATTAAAAACAAATTATTATTTAGGCTTATGTTGTGTTTAGTGTAGTTTTTTCAGCATTACTGTATGGAAAATATCATTGCAAAGTTAGAGAATCACCGGAGATGTAAGAAGGGAGGAGAACCATATAACATTTTAATTAACAGCACAAAGACATTGTATTTTGCTGTAAATGTTTTCTGGATTAAGGTTTTCATTATTGCTTTGGACACCGGCTCAGAACTGAAAAGGTGTAGGAGATATAATAAACCTGTCCCTTCAAGTATCATTGTCTTAATGAATTATTTTTATTTGTTGAGCCAGTGGGCCACTTGTTTGGTCATTTACGTGTTGGTAATTGGATCAATATTTGAAAAAGGCATCTTTTGAGGGTTTTAATCATTCATCCATATTCAGCTCAGAGTTCTTGCTGTAATTTCTCTTTCCACCTGCAGCCCTCTTTATATTTGATTTGCTGTTTGTATTTCATGGTCTGTCAGTGACATATATCATTCTGACAGACACTGTCATGTGGGACTGAGAGCACCGGAGTCATGGAATGAAGTGCAAAAACAAAATGGTCAAATCACCTTTTTCCACCTTCCACAAATCCAGTTAGCTCTTCAAATGATGTATGTTTTCTATTGCTAAAAATATACAAAATCCTATCCTATAGCAAGGTAATGATTCTGTTTTGTTAAGGATTTGGGGATTTTTCTTAGAGAGTGAGAAATTAGCATTGTATACTTGCTGTTTACATTTATGGAGTCTGAACTAAGACTTCATGTTTAACACCTTTCTCTCGAGCTCCCCTAATGCCAGAAACCTTAGCTACAATATAAAGATTAGAAGTAACAAAAACCTCATCAGAAAAAGGCAATGGTGCAATGGTGGCAGATGACAAAATGACATCTGGTAGTGTTGGCTATATACAAAAATAGCAGTATGTGGGAGGGGATAGAGGAACTGAAAGAGCTGAAAAAAAACCCCAAAATCTTAACACCTGAAGCAACAAATTATTTACAGTTGTCCTTAGTTGGTAATGAGCATTTCATTTCCCAGTGACATGTTTAAACTCCTAACTGAAGTGCTGCACATCCACTGCAGGCTCGTGTTGCTCTCTCCTTCTTGGTCTTCATGTGGAATCCCCTCAGCCTAGCTTTTAGCACTTTCCTCACTTCTGTGTAAAACACATTTTTCTGTAATCAGACCTTTTTTTCTTTACTTGAATATGCAGTTCTTGGCAACACTACTCTGCAGTGAAGTTCCCACTTAGTTTTCTAATGTGTTCTGAGAAATCAGCTCAACTATAACCACAAACATACCTGTGTGAGTTCATCTAGGTGTACATGGAAACGTACTACACCCAAAGTGCAGTGTGTGTCTCTGCTCTTTTTGTCTGTCTTCTCATCAACTGAACTCCATCTTGAGGAAACCACAGAACTGGTGAGACTGAGCTGCATGAACTAAAGGTAATGATGGCAGATGTGTAGCGACCACTGCTCTGTGAAAATGATTTAAAAAGGAAAACAAGATTTGGAAGAAAAGCTGCTGCTTATGAGGAAAACAATAATGATAGCAGATGTAGATTACGATTGAAAAGGATTGTTTCATAGTGTGTGAACCTGCTTTTCTGGATCTTATGAGAATCAACAAAAAGTAACTGCTGAGTTGTAGAACCACAGCTTGAAAAGGACTGAATGGATTGAGGGCATTGAGGCACTGGAACAGATTGCTGAGGCAAGCTGGAGATGCCCCATCTCCAGGAATCTCTGATGGATTCATGGCAGGAGCATTTGAACTAAATTATCTTTAAGGTCCCTTCCTAATCAAGCTTTTTATGATTATAGCCAAGAAAGCCAGGCTCGAGTTTATTTCTTGCCTGGCCTGGACCACTGTGCTCTTCACACTGTCACTGTGCTCTTCACACTGAAGAAAGAAGCAAGGGGATGGCAAACTGAAGGCAGGTACAGAGCAGGACAAATAGACTGTACTTCTTGTGTTCCTTCTAGAATAGTTGGTCTGATGCAATTTGGTGCGAAAAAAGAGTTGTTATTTCATGCCCTTTACACCATGTGTAATGTGTCTCAGTATTATCAGCAGAGGCTTTCAGCTGTTATACCTGTAACAGCTTCACCTTGTTTGGTGAAGATATGCTAAGCAAGTTTCTTGGTGTAGTGAAATGTGGCTGTATGAGTTGTCCAGAACCTCTACTAAGAGTTTGTAAAGCTCAAGATGTTAATGGTCACTACAAATGGAGAACAGCAAATAACAGAAATTGTATTTTGTAAAATGCAATTTCTCAATGTACTTAGATAATTTACTTAATGTACCTGATTTAGTTTCAGACCTTTTTTCCTTGCATCTCTGACACACAGACTGGGGTGCTGTGGTAACTAATGCAGTAAAACTTTGAAGCTGTAAAATCTCTGGAACTAGCACTGCCACCCCTTTGAATTCATTGGCAGTGAAGTGAATCCTCAGAAAGCAGATGAAGACTTACTCATGTGACATGAGGGCTTCTCTAAACAGGCATTAGAGTGAGACATCACCTTCATGTAAGAGAGTCCACAGCACACTTAAGTATAGAGCTAATTCATCTCTTAGCTGTAGGTTTCCTTGCTTCACTGCTCTGGGTTTTCATGCCCCTGTGCTTTAGATGTTATATAAATTATTCTCCATGGAAACAGTATCTTGGGAACTGGCAGCTGTGATACCCTTGCTGTCTTATATTTAAACAATGCAGATCATCCTGTGGCCACATGCTTCTCTTTCATGTATTTCAGGCAAATGAAGCGTTCTGCTGTAGAAAAAGGAGAGGCAAAAAGATGGGAATTGGTGTGCTAGAATCTAGGCTGTGAGGCCCAATTCAGTGTGTATATTTTAAAAATAATCCAGGAAATAAAGATGGAGAAATGTATTTGTACTTTCTATGCTGTCAATACCAAAAGGCATTGATGATACTTTGGGAAGTGTGATGGTGTTAAATCCCTTGGGCAAAGAGTTTAAGGGATTATTCAGTGGGACAGGATATGCAGAGTGGTTTTCATTCATCTGGGGAGGAAGAAGACCAGGCTGTACTGAGCAAAATGATACAGAAGAGCATGTAAAATACATACACCAAATAATCTTGAACATCAAGCATTAGAATGGCAGAACTAGCTTGGTGCTGGTACACAGTTTCAGTGTTTGGAAAGTATTGGTGGTCACCTTACTTCCATAATAACACCCTTTTCCTTTTGTGGCCTTCCAGTACAGGGTCATCCTGTGTAGGCAAGAGCTTAGTACACACTGTTAATTATTAGAATATAGTCAGTAATACTTGAAGGCAGACTTTACAAAAAAAGTTTAAAAAGTAGTAAGAGTTCTTGGTAAGACCAAAAGCTGCAGGGGATAACCTGGTGCTGCTGTGGGTCTTCATCAGTATGAGCATTAAGTAATGAGAGTCCCCTGCTTGTGACAACTCTCAGTACATGTCAGTCCCACTTCTGAAATCACAGGTTGGGAAAGTGAGAAGAGTTGTGGAGAACAACCTCCTACCCACCATGCCCTGGTAGTAACAACCCAACCCCAAGTCCTGTGTAGTTACAGTAGTTTTGCACAGAAGAGTTTTGAGCAGAGATGGAAAATTATCTTCCAACTTACACCATTGCTTTGCACAAAAGTAAGAATGGTTTAAATGTGTAGATCACCACCAGCATTTGTAAAGTTAAATATTTAACTCATTACTGCCACCAGGTATGTACCTTACACTCTGCCATAGGAATGAGTCCACAGTCTGAATGTGTTCTCTGCCAGTGCTTCATAGGGCGCCTATTCTAAGTCTGTCCTCTGAGAAACTGGAGGAATGATTCCTGTAACCCAGGAAAATAGTTGGGTGTATCTTGATAATTTTGAATGCTGTCAGGTATGGTGATCTTCCAGATCTGCCTGTTTCAAGGCTTTGGATCAATGGTTCCTTTAGCTGAACAGAAATAAATGCTTCAAAGCATCAAGTGACAGTACTGACTTCATCTAGAGCAATTGTGGTCATGTCACCCTGACACCAAGCTTCGAAGGACTGGCCTGATTCTTCTGCTTCCCCATTTAATAATGAATCTCAGTGAGAACATTGTGGTGTTTCTGACCTGTGAGAAATCTAGACTATGAAATTGTTGCTTTTCTGTGGTGGCCTGTCATTGTGGCACATCAGAAAGGCTTCTTTTGCTCTGCTCTGTTTTGCTGGCATGTGGCAGAACAAAGTTGTTCTGCCCCTTAAAGTGTGCACGTAGCTGAACCATGTGTTAGCTGAAATTGTGTGCTCAGACATCTGATTCCCAGCTGTGACATTCTCCCTTAACCTTTTCTAAAACAATTTTCTCTTAGTAAAAGAAACCAGGGCAAGCAATAAGTTTTCTCCAAAATACATAACAAATCAGCATCTTAATTTTTCTATTTCAAATTTTTCTTTATAATTTCAAACTTGAGCTTTTCCTTGACAACTCAGTACATGTATGCATGTGAGCATTTATTTTTGGTTCTAATTGCATTAGATAAAGAATTTCTATGGCAGTTGCTAATAGAAAAAGCAATTATTTAAAATGTCATTTGAACCTGTTGTTTGCCCCCTGAGGAATGCATTTATCTTTGACTTACTAAGAATAGGTAAATCCACAATCCAAGATTGCAGATTTTTGCCCTGTCCACTTCATCCTGTTACATGAACAATGAACTTTTAACCATTCTCTAGTATTTGTAAGAAATTTTACATATTTCTAATACTTCCAGTATAAACTGAGAGCTTCAGAGGATTGGGGTGCAGAAAACAAAAGAAATCTGTAGCTTTGATTTCTAACAATTAGGGGGAAAAAATTAGAGCAGACTCTAGTATCTATCTCCCTTGGCTTTATTTATTAATAAAGTGTCCCTAGAAACAGCTTCAGCATCTGTTGCTGAATGTCCTGTGTTCTCCTGAATGCAGGATTTCTCAGGATTTGAACAGAAAGCCCCAACCCCATCAACCCTTTAAGACCTGAGGTGCATTTCCAGGGACATCAGGCTGAAATGCAATAT